GATAGAGCACAGGAGCCACTAACGCGCACTCCCTGACATCCTTCGCCGTTCATCAGGAGCGAGCCTGCGTGACAGAGGTAGGTACGGTGCTTTGCTCTCCACGGAGAGGGCCAGCACAGCAGAAAGTTTGTGGAGGTAACAGCAGCGATAACGTTGCAGACCCATCATTTGATGGGGAAAGAGAGTAAGGATGAGTATGGGTACATACAGACAGTCTGGGAGCTCTAATTTAGCAAACACAGGACCCCTGGAGATTTTTCTCCTGGGAAGTTCAGTGCGGTCTGTGTCACCACGTTCTGCCTGAGGGTTATTTATTGCTGTGCTATGCTCTGGAGGACTGTACGGTTAAAGTTTCCAGGTTCTGTTCACAAATATGCTAAGAAAGGGACCATATTTCCCTAATTTTATGGGGAGATGGACAAAAGAAGGACAGGGAGCTGCTGGAGAGGGTCCAGCAAAGGGCTACGGAGATGCTGAGGGGAGTGGAGCATCTCTCTGCTGAGGAAAGGCTGAGGGACGTGGGGCTGTTCAGTCTGGAGGAGAGAAGACTGAGGGGGATCTTCTCAACGCTGATCACTCCTTCAAGGGAGGTGCCGGGGGATGGGGACAGTCTGTTTCCAGTGGTGCCCAGTGACAGGACAAGAGGGAACGGGCACAAAGGTGACCATGGGCAGTTCCATCTCCACCTGAGGAGGGCCTTCTCTGCTGTGAGGGCGGCAGAGCAGTGGCACAGGCTGCCCAGAGAGGTGGGGGAGTCTCCCCCTCTGGAGCCATCCCAAACCCGCCTGGACGCCGTCCTGTGCCACTGCTGGAGGTGCCCCTGCTCTGGCGGGGGGTGGCACTGGGGGAGCTCCAGAGGGCCCTTCCAGCCCTCACCAGTCTGGGATTGTGTGAAGAGGAGGTGTAAGTAGTGAGGAATAGGTGTGCTCAGGTATTTGCAGAAGGACCTTGGCGGCTGAACGTTTGCAGATTAATGATTCCATGAGCATCCACAGCTCAGACCAGTCTGAAATACACAACACACCACTGGAAATACACAATGAGGGAGAACCTCAGGTATTCCCATAACTTCAGTGACATGGGGAGCGCCTACCGTGGAGTTGGGAAAAGCTGTGAAGGCAGCCCCCCCCCGGATTTGAACTGAGATGTGACAATGTGCCCAAACAGCGATTTAGTCACGCAGCCCTGTGCTGTGGGAGAAGGAACTGCAGCGTGCAAACCTATCATGCCTGAGAAGTCAGTCAGATCGGCATTTGGGAAGATGCTCTGGTAATTATTGAGCTTCTGATTTCCCGAGAGCTTTTCCTCCCTCTTTTGTGTGTGTGTGTGTGTGTGTGTGTGTGTAATTAGGTCTATTAGGCAGCAACGTTGTGTTATAACGTCAACAAGAGTTTCCCAGTGTAGGGCTCGATCAGTTTAAAGGACAAAATAGTACCTGAGAGTGAGGGGAATGAGCTGGCTGGAGAGCCCAGCAACTGACCTGGTTTTCCTCCTCCCAAACTTCTTTTTGGGAACTGCAGAAATCAGCAGCCTTTTTCCCCAGGGCTGCTTATTGCTCTTAAATACAAGACCGAAGTCTCTCTTGGTAAAACCACAGATGAGGTTTTATTTTGTTGGTTGGTTGGTTGGTTGTTTTGTTTTTTTTTTTGAAGTCCTAATGACAATGTGTTACAACCTCAGGCTCTATCCAGTTGATGAGGAATAAATTCTTAGTAATGAAGAAGAGTCTGAGAGTGTGTCTAAAGTGCTTGCTTTATCACCAGCACATATTTTATACTGACAGTCAATACTTTTAACTGATCCCAAGCCACGTGTGTTGCATTTCAAATCCCTCCCCAGCCTGCTCTGGTCTTTCCCATGTGTGTTTTCCAAGCTAGGGGCAGAGTTAGTTTTTCAGGTTCAAGTTTCTGATCATACGTGTGGGTTTTTTTTTTTTTTAATTCACAGCCCCTGTTTTTAGGTCAGGAGGATAAAGTTTGTTCTGTGTCAACTGAATGGAAGGACCAGAGGAGCCATTGGAAGGATTAGGTGGCAGAACAGCTGCGGAGGATCATGTGTGGCATGATAGATTTAGCTTTTCAAGGACCCCCGTTGCCATTTTAGGCAGTCCAGTTTGCCATTTCGTCACTGTTTAGGGCTCATAAATGGGCAAAACAGCTAAAACACATTTATACGCGGTCTGAGCTGATAACCTTTGTGACTGCCTTTACTGCATGTGGGGCTGTAGTTTTCTCTGGCCAGACTGAAGAAGCTCCTTCGTTGTTTCTTTGCCACATTTACGATCCCGTGTTTCCGCGTTATCTCAACACCTTGCAGGGTTTCACTGCGCTTACCCCACGGCACCCCCGAACGAAAAAAAACCCAAACAGCAGAGCTTGTTTTCCCTGAGTGTCTTGAAGTTCAGCTGCTTTTTAGGTTCACTGGTGTTCTAGGGAGCGTGTGCTCGGAAAAAGGGTTAATAGGGCCAGCTGTCTGCAGAAAACTGGTCGCATTTCTAGGATCTTTTGCAGCCCCTATGAGACCAGGCTGAAATAGGAAGGACTGACCGACTGGTGCACGCACACGGACAGTGACAGCATGAGCTTCATTTTCTGGGGAGAGCTTAAAAAAGGGGGGGGAAAAAAGAAAAATAGACTTTAAAAGCTTTTATTATTATTATTTATTTTTGCCTTCAGTCACCTGGTTTGTACACTGGTGCATGCTGAAAGCCTTCTGGTGTGTAGCAGCGGTCCCAGAGGCACGATACAAGCGTGGCGGTATTGCCGGGGCTCCCTGGGCCTGACTGACAGCCCCGCGCAGAAGCACTGGGGATTTACATTCATCACCAGGCTCTCTCCCAGCCCGGGCAAGTGCAAGTTGGTGTACGGAGAATAGTATGAAAATGTCCTGCCAGCAGAGCCGAGGCCTCCCCCATCTGCCCGCAGCGACTGTGCTGCCAAGATTTGAGAAAGCTGATTTAGCCTTTTCCTGACTTTTTAGCCCTTTTATCCTCCCGGCTTTCTGAGATTTACACCGGTGCTGGTTGCCAGACAGTGTTATGAATTTTAAATCTGCCTTGATTTTAAGCGTCCGTACTGCTGTGCAGTGCCCAGTTGAGGATCCAGTTGGGGGGGATCCCCATTTAATTGTGGGGCGTTAAGTTACAGACAACAAATAGCCTTGTAACAAAATAGGCCAAGGAATTGTGCTTTATTACTCCTCTTGTTTCCCCTTTCATTGTGATTTTTCCTGGTTAAAATAAAATCTTCCATTTATTTTTTCTGACACGCGCTTGTGTGCTACACTGAAAATTACTCCTGACTTCTCTCTGCTCCTTTAAGCTGAACTTCTCTTTTGCTTTGGCCCGTCTCCAGATCTCCTGTTTTAGCTGAGATTTGCTTCCTTGCCTTCTTTCTGCTAATTCTTGATGAGTAGATGAGAGGAGTATTAAATAGATTTAGTGAAAAATGACCGTCACCAGTGTAGATGACTTTCCTCTAATTAAAAATTGAAGCGGAAATGAATAAGCTTCTCTTGAGGCTGTGCAGGAGTCGATGCTAAGCCTAGTACTATATTCATCAGTGCTGTGAGAAGTCCAGTATATGAACGAATATCCCAGAAACTTAGGTACCTCAGAGGATGCTAATAAAAGGGAAGGGAGAGTTTCTAGTGTCAGCGTATTCGTCTGGCCTAGATTTAAATCTGTTGGCATAGACCAAAGAGTCAGAGCTGAATTTGCCACGTCCTTGATTTTAATGCCCGTGCTAGGTAGGCATTCGATGCCATCACAGAGTTTTCCAAGCAAAAAGGCATTATCAGGGCAAGCTGATACCGCTTGGGTGCTGCAGTACCTGATGGATACTAACTTCGGCATCGTTGCTTTAATGCACAGTGCAGGCTTTGCCAGTTTTGACCAGAAATTCTTTCTCGTATGCAGCCAGCCAGTGGAGGTAATCGTAACCAACACGAGTACATTCCCTTTAAACTTTCCCTCGCAATGAATCAAAATTTTCCAGCAGGAAATGAAAGCAAAATCTTCATCTAAAAATTCCTCATCAGCTCTAGTCACTAGACCAGAACAATAGTGATTACACTCAGTTAGGCAGTACAAATTCACAGCACTGCTGTGTCCCAGGATCACAACATGCCATTAAAAGGTGGGTGGAGAGAGCAGGTGTACGCTAATATCTCCATTTTGTACACGAGGAGACAGGAGCTTGCAGATGTTAAGCAGCTTCTGCAAAGTTAACACAGCAAGACAGTGGCAGAGGAAACCAGATCCAGGGGCGGTGATTTTTCTGCTCTGGCCACTGAACCGTGCAACCCTAATGAAAAGCAGAGTGCCCAGAGAAAGCCATGTGTCCGCATCTACTGAATCCCTTCACTGTCTCAGGTTTACTGGTAACAACCCCGGAGGTATTAGAGATGTACCAAGGTTGCTGTTTTGCAGAGAGGACAGTTGCTTTTAAAAAAATAGCAGTGTCTTAGGTCACTAAGGGGTCGTTTTGTTTGCATTATCTGAATATATGATTGTTCTCTTGTAGGAATGGCAAAGCATCCGCCACGCAGCAGCGATGAGAGAGACTGACATTCGTACAAGTCTCTTCTGGCTCCTTCTCCACAATGCCTGGTGCCTCTGCATATTCATTGGATGGTAATGCAGGATGTCGAGAGCAGCGGTAGAGTTTGGCTTGATCCCATTGTGTTTTTCTTCTGCCGGTTGAGACTTTGAATCACCATGACAACGCTGTGACACTTCCAGCAACGGTTGTGTGCAGACCAAGGGTGGGCTGGGGGTGGGCGAGAAGGTCAATGATTGAGTCTAACGGGATCAAAAGTTGTGCCTGCAGCAAAACGACTGTAGAAAAGCCATCAGTACGACAAGAAGATGAAATTCCCCTTCTATTGGCTTCTCGTTAAGCAGGCACAATAACATTTTTTTTCAAGAGACTCGCTATAAAAACTCTTTTGGTTATGGCTACTGATCCAACGTGATTGGGTGCGCAGTGACTTTTGAACTCATGACTGGATATACGATGTTGCGGAATGGGGGAGTGGGGAACGGAGGCCAGCCGTGGGTGTTGAGGTGGTCCAGTCGGATCCGGCTCACCTGGCTTAGTTTCACCCTCTTCATTATCCTCGTCTTCTTTCCCCTCATTGCCCACTACTACCTAACCACCATCGATGACGCGGACGATGCCGGCAAGCGCATCTTTGGCCCTCGGACCGGCAATGAGCTGTGCGAGGTAAAGCATGTGCAAGACCTGTGCCGCATTCGCGAGTCAGTCAGCGAGGAGCTGCTCCAGCTGGAGGCCAAGCGGCAGGAGCTCAACAGCGAGATTGCCAAGCTCAACTTGAAGATCGAGGCCTGCAAAAAGAGCATTGAAAATGCCAAGCAGGACCTGCTGCAGCTGAAGAACGTCATCAGCCAGACCGAGCATTCCTACAAAGAGCTGATGGCTCAGAACCAGCCCAAGCTCTCCTTGCCCATCCGGCTCCTGCCAGACAAAGACGATGCGACCTTCCCCTTGCCAAAATCCAACCGGAACTGTAGGCTACACAACTGCTTTGACTACTCGCGCTGCCCGTTGACATCTGGCTTTCCAGTCTATGTCTACAACAGTGACGATTACCCTTTTGGTAGTTCCTTAGACCCTTTAATTAAACAAGCCTTTGAGGCGACTGTCAGAACTAATGTTTATGTTACTGAAAATGCAAATATTGCTTGTGTGTATATAATTTTAGTGGGGGAAATGCAAGAGCCCGTAATGCCAAAACCTGCTGA